TTGTGACTAAATTATACGTAGCATATGATGATGAGCACGAAGACAAAGAAATTGTTGCTCTTTTCTGAGAAACGGTTCCTGTCAAATTAATAGAACCGTTTGAAGTGCACCGAAGAAGCCTTACACCTAATTGCTTTCGCCTGACGTCCTCATGAGTTACAAAATTGCTACAAAAGCTATCGGAAAATATCAGAGCAAAGAGAAGAGAATTACCAATTACTTGTCAAAGAATGCAAAGCATGATGGGCCATACTACGACTATTCAGACTTTTATGCAAACTGAATATTTGCACACTCGCTTTTCGTATTAATTTCAAGACAAAACAACAGAAATTGACAAACGTGATCAGCGTATTTCAATTATATTTTATTATATACGAGCACCGAATTTGATGTAAACATGTCGGGCTATATGGCAAGAGATCCACCTGAGTCGTAAGTAGGCCGACTAGGGAAAGAGTTCCGACTAGTAACTCAATGGTCGTGGATTCGAATCTTAAATGCGGTAGACTTTTTAATAAAGCCGAAAGCCTTAGAAGATGGTAGTGCTTTAAGACGTTAGTCTTAGAATTTATTCTCTGGCTAAACGAATAATAATAATAATAATATATGGCAAAAAAGTATTCCGTGAAATCGAAATCAATTTCAACAACAAAAAAGCGTTTGCTTCGTAACTTTTTTAAGACGGAAGGAAAGATGATAGTTACATATAATATAGATGCTTGCATGTATTTTAGTAATTTTTCGTTCTTGAAAAAGTCATTTAAAGTCAATCAAAATATTTTCCATCATTTTCTACGACTTTTTCCCATCTTTCTGGCAGCATGGAGATACCTTGTCTAGAGTGTTCAAATCATCGACCCATTTTCGCATTTCTTTAGCATGACGAATCCACACGCCAGCCAAGCCGTGCTGCTGACCAGAATTTCCAATTCGAGTTGCAACAGTAGGTACTTAACAACTTTTGCTGTAAAACAACTAGCGTTGCCATGCAAGAGGATGACTTTGTATCTATTCCTCGGCTTTTTTGCAACAATATATCGTTCAATTTGTTCAACTGACGTCGACAGATATTTGCAGTAACAGTTTGATTCGATTTTCACAATTCGTAATATACTGCATCTTGTCAATCCCACCACATGCATAGCAAAAATTTTATAGCCAAGAATATTCCACACCGGTGTCGATGTGGACATGACTTTCTGCACTTGGTTCGATGACGCAATGAAAGTGCGGTGTTGAAACGGTTTCGAAATGGCATTTTCAGTCAACTCGTATCATAGCCATCTTCCCTCCTGTTTGCGATTTCCCACCGCACGTTAACATTTAGAAAGAGTTGCTTGATTAACTGCTAACCTGTTCGAAAGTTGTCTGAGAGTTTCATCTGGGGTTTCGTCCATTAAGTCTTCCAATTCATTGTCTTTCAACTTTTTCAGGCCTTTCTTTATCATTGACATCGCAAGCACAATTTTTAAATCGCTGAAACCAAAATTGACAATTGGGATATGATAGAGGCGCATCACCATAAGCTAATAAAAATGCTTGATGATCTTCGGCAGTAGATTGCTTCACATCAAACAACAAAAGTATTGAATGTCGAAAATGCATTATTAAAGGTTCTATGGATGGCGCGTCTGTAAGAACTGAATAACTCATTAATACTAAGTGGAAAACTGTCACTATATATAGAGATAGATGATCATCAATCATCGAATTTAAGCCTCGACTTTGTCATTTTCACCAATAGATGTCAGTAATCAAAGTACATGCAGCCACTTAATATTATCCTTTGGTACGAATTTGACAGAATCGCACGTTGTGCTCTTAACATCTTGCGAAATGACAAGAATAAAAAAAGAACCGGGAAATTCATAATCAACTCCAAGAACTTTGGTCGCAAATTTTACATTTTTTTTGGTTGAAAGTATTTTAATCGCTCTCGAGCCTTTCATTTGCTAAGGACTGTTTCAGTGAACATATTCTTGCATGAAAATAATTTTAAATAAACATAAATACTTTCTAAAGAGGACCCTTAGCGTAGCAGAGAAGTCAGAAGACCACAGCTGACATCACGACTCTTCTCGAAGTGTTTGGAGAAGACATTCGAAATGTCAACGAAAACACTTTTTTCAAGCAAATATGCATTAAATTGTCATAAAAAAAAAAAAAAAAAAAATTGTCTTTCAAAAAATTTGCAATGGCTTGCTATCTTCAACATTCACAATCAGTACACGTAAACTACTCGAAATGAACTCGTGGGTGGTGTTATACAAAACAGCAACCGGTTAATAAATTTCTACACAAAGTAATTGTTATTCAATTGAGTTGAACAAGGACAAGATTATATCTTGCGATACGTCAATGTATTCAAGTTCAGAGTAATATTTTGAGAAAACGTAAACTATCGTCAAGAAAACAAAAATCTGTTTCAAGTGTAAATCATAAAAGAAAACAAAAAAAATCAATGTTATTGCCGCCCTTTCGATCTGAGTGTAGACAAAACCTCGGGTCGCTTAAGATTTTAATGTGTGAGAAATGATTTTTCTCTAAATGTCTCAAGCTTTTATTTAATCTATTTTATGCTTTTTATTACAATTGGGTTCCCAGATCTTTCCACAATCTTGGTGGAATTGTTTGTTAAGATAAAAAATTTATATATTCATCATGTCGTGATGACGTTCGCTATATTTCACTTAGAACTAACTAGCAATTAGTTTGTCGCATTCTGCTCTCCAAAGCCCCTTCATTCGATATCCAAATAATTCGCTACCTTGTAGCGGTCAGAAAATTGAACTCTGCCACATGGCGTTGTCATCGAATCTAATGTGGATGCAAGCGAATGCTGATTGCGTCTTTGAGAACGGTTACTTGTCTAAAAGTGAAAGATGGCTTATGTGGTTGGACTAGCATGCATTTGCTCTCTAAAAACAGTAAGCATCACCACACGAAAAGAATAAAACGGAATATAAACAAACATGAGCAAAGCAGAATTCATATAGTAAGTGATATCGAAATTAATTACACTGGAATAATTGGAAAAGTTCGCTACGATGAAACCTTTTTAGTAATCGTATCCAACTGAAAAATTGATCTGCGTACGAAGTTAGATCAAAAATATTGAAGATAGCAATTTTTTTTTTGAAAAAAATTTAATGTAATTGAAAAAATCTCCTACTCGGACATAATCGAACGATCAACTTTCATACTTTATATATATATATATATATATATATATATATATCAAAAATATTCGTCAAATCGAATACAAACGCTATGATGAGTATAGAAGAGGAAGAAAAGATTCATTAACATCATTCAAAATGTATTAAAATTGTATTGTAACGTAACGTGAAATGTGTTCTTTTGATTTTACCTTCCTCCTCTTCCAACTTATCCAACAAAAGACAAATATATACAAATGAATTATTTACATGGAGTTGTGTTTTTCAGTTCAATATTTTTGGACTTGATCGATTCTACATTTAGCAAACCTCTTTACTTATATGCCGTCTTAGGGCCCAGTCATTATCAATATCAAAACCCATTCTAATATTTCTTTTGGGAATTGTGGCCAACTTTTCTGCCGATCGCAGTCGATAGATAAAGTGGCACGAAGCCGTGTTAAGAAAATCGGTTTGTTTTCATGTGCGCTCATTTTTCTATTTATATATGTGATTTTCGTGATAATGCGTTGTGTGAAACAACGCTATTTAGGTACAGGCGGCATATAAGGATTTTGATTCACATACTAACCCTTTACTGTTGCGTTTTTATTTAACGTCGAGCAGCAAGCTGTTGTCACACTTGACTCCAAAATTTTAACAAGCACACATTTAATAGCTAACTTTTTATTTTAAGATAAGTGGAAGAATTTCAGTTTTCCACTTACTGTTAATAGATTTGTGATATCTATAATCCAAACCACTTGTGATGTCAAGGTATATTAAGTTTGTGTGAATGTATGCAATACCCAGAATGGCGAGAGAATAGACCCGCTTTTTATAATGCAGATCGATTCAGAAAACGATAATGATTCTAAGCTTCTCTGTGCATCCGTCTGTCCTGATTTCTTCTGTTCAACCTACAAGCTATAGGTTTTGAGATATTTTGATAACTTTTGGCATGCTGACGTGTATTGGCCCAAGGTCGAACGCTATTAAAAATGTTTCGAATCGGACCACATTTTCAACCACTTGCCATGTACGGTGTCATTTTAAAAAGCCGATATATGCATAACTGTATGGCATTCAATGATGATGGGCCGTGCACCCCTTGCAAATCTTTTTACTTGTTCAACTTAATTGGATGATAAGAAAACGATAGAAATGTAGGTTTTTGCAGATTTTTAAATATATTTGCTACATATTGTTTGCTTGCTCTCAAGATTTTAATTAAATATTAGTTTACCTTGTGTGTAAAAATTTTCTTCTTTTTTTTTAATTCAGTCACAGTCGAATATAATTTTCTTCCTTGTCATTTTTTTTTTTTTTTTTTCTTTTGGAAGATTGAAAAAGAAATAAGGAAAACTTTTGAAAGTTTTCATATAGTGATTGAGTAACGAACGTAATTGCATAGCACAGCGAACACAGCAGCATTGGCTCATAATGTCAAGCGTAAGCAACATAAGTAGCCAGTTATACCATTTTCGGAAATAGTTGTTGAGTGCTTGTTGCTGCTGCTTTTTAAAGTTACCTTTTTAATTTATGATCCCTAGTGATGGGAAACTGCGTGAAATTTCTAACACTCACAACACATGGTTTTAGTAACTTTAATGGCGATTACAGCGTAAGCTTCGAAACTTCAATAGAGCGTCAGACACATAAGCAATTGTGTTCTCTATAACTGTGCAAATAAGGCGGGGTGGGGTTTTAAGCGTGAGAATACCTCTTCATGAGTTCTGTAGACCAATGAACAAAAAAAAAAAAAAAAAAAAAAAAATTGTCATTTTTTGTGTTTCATTCATTCATTCTCGCTCCATGTATACATGTACTTATTTCTAGATAAATGTCGAAACGAACTTGTCTGCGATATCCAATACAACGAGATAACCATGACGATGGTGACGATGATGAGAAGTCTACCCGCGCAAATATTATTTAGAAAAGAAACGATCAGACGCAACAACACCTCAATTGCCAATAATAATAATAATCACAATAATAATAATAACAATAATAATAATAATAATAATAATAATAATAATAATAACAACAACGAAGACGGCGACACTAATAGTAATAGCATTGAAAATAGTAAAAATAATTTTACCTGTCAGACAAAGCAGTCAAGGCGGCAGGATGAGGTAGCACAATCTCGAGGCAAAGCAGTAAACGCAGCGATCAACAATAGCATCAGAAGTAACAATTCGTTGGTAATGAAAAGTTGTAGTAATACCGGTTTTATATTTAGTTGTTTTGGTCAGATAACCATATCGTTGCTGAATACAACGACGTCAGTAACGACAATAATGACAACGACAACGACAACACACGCCTGTATAGTTATAATGCTGCTATGTACAACATGTTCCTTATGTACAGCCTCGCTATGCGATGCGCAGAGTTGGTGGGATCCGACAAAGGACAAATGCGTGCCGTGTATAGTGTGTAAAGGTGACATGATACCGCTGAGACCGTGTCAAGTACATCAAGACACTATGTGCGGTTCCATATATGATCTTAAAATCGACTGGGTTGTCCTGGCGAAAACCGAACCCAATTGGAAAGAGGTAAGCAATAAACATAATAACAATAATAATAATAATAATAATAATAAAAGCGTAAAATGGCAAAAGTAATTAAAAATAAAAATGAATAAATTTCTGTTTTATTTTCTTTTTTGACGTTTATTTAAATTTTTCTAAATCAGCGCCGAAAGTTTGATGACCTTGATTACGGCTTCGACCACCATCACTTGACAGCTGAACAACTGCAACAACTAGAGGATGAAACGGTGTCTTTAGATTGGCAAACAGCCGCTCTTTTTCTAGCCGTTTTAGCTTGTTTACTATTCTTCATTGTGGCCGCCTGTATACTTGTGCATCATATGCGACAATGGCGACGCATGGAACGTAGATTAGATCAAGGTAAGCTCGATTTATGTAAAACGATCATTAATATTCCAACCATATATCTATCTACACAAGTATATGTATATATATGTAAGAGATTGCTTGAGTTGATTGAGTTCGACTCGATTTTCGGTTTAGTTAAGACTTTTCTTCTGAAATAGCATAAAAACAAGAAGTATCACGTTTCATGGTTATTTTCTGAGTTGGATACGTTATTTGAAATTCCATACATACCTTGCTGGAAAATAATAAAAATAAGTAAAAAAAAAAAAAAAAACACAATAAATATATATTTATATATATATATATATAAAATGTTTCTCAAGGCAGGTGCCGTCAATCATATTGAACACTCGCAGTAACATATAAAAGGTAAAAGAATGAAAAGAAATGCCTTAAAAGTTCGGGTTAAATTCCCTGAAATATTGAGCAACACGTACTAAAAAACAGTCGATTTTTTACGAGTTCGTTTACGTTTTATTTGATAAAATCTTATGTATGTGTTTTTGAAATGGGTGCCACTGTGCGCCAAAGATTCCTTCATAGCATAATAATAAGGAGAGAAAATAAAACAAAATAATAATCAAATGTATTTTCCTTTTATAAAATGCAAAAAAAATAAACTCATTTCCAAAAAAAAAAAATAAAAAAAATAAAAAAAATAAAAATAACAATAAAAAAAAAAAAAAAAAATTTTTTTTTTTTTTTTTTGTTTTTAAAAAAAAAAAAAAAAAAAAAAAAAAAAAACATTAATGGCACAAAGCTTGTTACGAATATACGCAAATATCGCGTTGCCGTTTACGTATATCAGTGTATATGTAAGAAACAAGTGTTATCTAGACATTTAGCAAAGTTCTCATTAAGATTACTAATGAGCCTTAAAAACATTCTATTAAAATATATAAAGTTAAGCTTTGTTGTTCTTTGCGCTTCCATCGAACTGCCTTCAAGATGACTGATCGCTTTATGACCATTTTATTTTATAAAACCTGTAAGAAGCTTAAACAAGCAAACATATTTGTTATAAATGTTTTAGTAAACATTATTTATATATTTTTATAAAGAAGGCCTCGCTTCAGCCTAATTTCGTGATACCCTATACACTATCTGTTAGTTTATATTTAATAGCAAAATAACAAATGTAGACAATACAGTTGGCAACGACAATGGCAATGGCGTGACACTCATTTTTGCGTAAAAGAAACCAAGCTCTTAAGCTAATGTTAGGGGAAAAAATTGCCTTTTTTTGGTACGTTTACATAGTGACCGATCACTGACTCAGCAGGAGCAACTTTCTATACAAATATTCTTAAAAGTAGCACCCTATCGACTTAAATTTTTATTAGATTCCATTACCAGTCCTCAACTTAGTTGCGTCGGTGAGAGCTTTTACAGTGACGGCCAACACTTTTTATTTTGCTTTTATACTAATTCTGGAATAGTAATTCTTGCCCCAAGTCTTTCTACATAAGTCTTCTCTTAGTTCACCAATAATACGTATAGTCTCGCTGAATAAAGTCGCTGAAAGGTTATGGTTTATTGGAGTGAGTCAACGCTCTCACATCTAACAGTGTTATATCTCATAATTTTTGTGGCAAGTTCACTTACGTATCTTCGAAGATTACATAGTCGTTGATCATTTTATTGAGCGAATATTAGCTGCAATATGCACGATGTACGAAATGTGTGTGCTTTGTTTTCGTAATAAGTTTTAACAATCTCTCTCTACACGCTATAGAAATATGTGTGTGTATATTGTGTTTGAGAAATAACGGCAAGGTTCGGTCAATGTCTCGAAAAAACAAATTTGATCCAAATCTCAATTGGAAGGACATTTTATTTACGTTTACTTTTCGAACAATGCAATGAACGCCCCTACATACATACATAGATATTTGTTTATTTATTTATTTATTACAAGCCATAGTCTTAGAAATTCAAAGGAACATCTCAAAATGCATCTACAACTGTTTATTATGATCCTAAGTTACATTGTAGAGTTTCACACAAGTGAATGTGAGGGCAACAAGAAAAGTGAACAAGAAGAACCTGTGAGGATTTTTTTGAATTTAAAGTGAATGATTAATCTCATAGTTGATACGGACTTCTGGCAGTTGTTTTTATAAGGCAAATAATTCCGGATGAATCTTATCGGAATATGAGTATTTATCTCGGCCAATGGAAAATGGGGAATAACATGCGTCCGTGTTAATATATACAGAAACATCTAGAAATCCTTCAAAATTAGAAGTAGTTCATCTTCAGGTACTCTTGACGCTTCTATTATCCATAGCAATAGTGGCTAAAAGTTTACTTTTTGACATGATGTCACACAAGCAATTGTATATTAAGATCTTCTGTAGTCATCACCTTTACCACCACTGGTAGACCTTGATATATGCCTTATTGGTTATTCGTTAAGCAAAGGGAGACCTATTTCTGCATGGATTATGCGTGGACACTTTGGACTTTCGTTTCTGCTCTAGTTTATGAGCAATGCGAAAAACGTTTTCTTTGATTTTGAAAGCTGTCGTCTTCCCAGTCTGTGTTGTGTAGTGGGGACATGTTCTTCGATCAATTTGGCTCATTTTCGTTATCAATTTACGTGCAAGCATTTTTCTCGCGTTTTTGTTAAATCCGATGCCGATATCTTAATTGATGTGACAAGGGGAGTGTTTACCATAGACAGAAACTTATTTGCATGAACCGACATCTTATTATTTGATGCCGATCGAAAGTAGATATAGTTTGTATGGTCCTAAAAGCGACAGACCACAGAATGCTGCGAACGTTAAGCGAGAATGAATAATCCATGCATTTCTTCCTTCCTTCTACGGCGGGTATGAAAACATTATCAAAACTTAATGACAATGTCTTTGCCGTATCTTAGTATGAAATCAATTTGCAAACCACAAAGCCTGTATAGTTGGAAACAATCAATTCGTTACTCTTGCACAGCCATCTAAAATTGCTTAAGCAGTCTTAGAGATGTTTAGGAAAAAAAAAAAAAAAGAAGAAGAGGAAGAGGAAGAAGAAGATGAAGAAGCGATTAATTAATTTAAATCAACAGAGAAGCATAAATTTTCAAATTACTTATGTATTTAGAAAATTCTTTTATCTTAATCGATCATCAATGCTATTAAATCAAAATTATTATGCTTTCCAGTAGAGTAGTAGCCAAGACAATTGTGTTAGAAAAATATCCGGTAAACACATATTCACTTGATTTATTTACTCAAAGCACAAATTTGCTAAAGCGATTCATACATAAAATGGTGTTAATTTATGATATCTTGATATAATAAATATTTCATATAGAAATGAATTTAGACTAAAGGTGTGTAGAGAGTAACAAAAAAAAAACACACAAAAAATAAAAAAAAAAAAAAAAAAAAATGATTTAGTTTAAATAAGAAACGCAAACAATTTCGAATTGTATGCACATTTACGATATTAAAAGAATATTAAAAATTCATGAATCCATGATCATTTTGCCAATAAAAACAAGGAAATTGTTTTTTTTTTGTTTTTTCTTCTTTTTCAAAAAAAAAACAAAACTGTTCTAAGTTGGTCGGGCAAGCGTTTTATTATAAACATCCCGAGTTTCCTAAACAATTTATTTCATTGCAAAAATAACAATTAAATAATTTGTTTATAAATACGTTAAACGAAATAATTACGAAATACTTACATTTTATTTTTCTCCCTCGGCGATAAAATATTGCTATCGTTTATGGGTTTACTGCCCTTCGAATTGAATATTTTGACATTTCCTTATTTTTTTAATTTTTTTCCCTAAGTTCGAATGCTTACAATCCTACATAAGCGCAAAGTATGCAAATTCAATTCGTTTCGAATACGCTACAAAAAAAAAAATGCAATTTACTTAGTAATTAATACAATCACAAAATAACACGGTTAAGATCGGCAGTTATAAGATGATGATGACGAGACTTACATTGAAAGTTGCATTCTTTAGCGTTGAAACTGTGGACAGTGTTTTGTTACATCAAAATTCTTGTTCTGCAGATTTCCTCAATTCTCTTACACGTTGTTAAGCAGAAGGTTCTGTTAGTCGTTAGATGCACAATTCGTCCGGCAGGCGGCCAAAAGTCAAAAATCCTGATTTGCTTTCATTACTTTCCCATCTATTTTGGAAAATCTCGTTTTCAACAGAATTAGCCAAATATTGATTTACCATGCAGGAAGGGAGATAATATGACGAAAAGCACACACACATCACATAAGTTCGATGATAACAATTTGCGATTAATTCTTTCGGATAAAACCGGTGTACATAACATCAAATTTATTTGGTTTTAGGGAAGGCCGTAAGCCTATGACAACAAGGTAACTAACTACCAACATAACTAATTTAAGGCATTAATGTGCCCTCAAAACGTTTGAATAATAACAGAGAAGAAGTTCAGCAATGACTCTCCAATTCTCAATGAGATATCTCTCGTCGTTCTCATAACGTGGGGGGGGGGAACTAGTCTTCCAACGAGTAGAAAGTCCGTATGATTACAGGGAATCT